TTTTTTGGTTGCAGCCATTATTGTTGTTTGGCGGGTCCGGGCTGGATTCAAACCTGCCACCTTAGGTGTACGTGGCTGGCGTCTTAGCTGCTTGAGCCACAGGCGCCGAGCCTGGTTGCACATTTCTTAAGAGAGTCTAGCAAGGGTGTCCAACTCTTTTCTTTTCTGCTGCACATTGGAAGAGTAAGAGTTGTCTCAAGCTACACATTAAATACACAAACATTAATTAAACCAGGCAAGCAAAAACAAAGGTCCATGCATACTTTTTGTGATATGTGACACTACAGATAACCAAAACAGTTTTCAAATAATCTGCATGTGGCCCATGGACACAGGTCGGATGCCCCTGAATGCCTAATGATCTGAGCTGAGGCAGTGATGTTAGCACTGGGACCATCTAGTTGTAGGAGAACAAGCTCAGGGCTCCCAGCGATTCTGTATTACGATGAGTTACATAATTATTTCATTGTATATTGCATTGTAATAACAGTAATAGAAATAAAGTGCACAACGAATGTAATGTGTTCAAATCATCCTGAAACCATCCCCTCTCCATGGAAAAACTGTCTTCCCTAAAACTGGTTCCTGGTGCCAAAAAGATTGGAGACCACCAGTTTACCAAGATTAATGAAGAAAAAAAGAGAAAAGGCACAAAAAAATTAAGAATTTTTAAAAAGATAAGAGAAATACTTAGCAGAAATCAAAAAGATAATAAAAAATGATTTGAACAACTTCATGAAAAATACTTTAAAAACTCAAAAAAGACTGAGCACTGTGGCTCACACCTTAATCCTAGCACTCTGGGAGGCCAAAGTGGATAGAATGTCTGAGCTCAGGAATTGAAGACCAGCCTGAACAAGAACAAGACCCCATCTCTAAAAAACATCTGGGTGTTGTGGCAGAAGCCTATAGTCCCAGCTCCTAGGGAGGCTGAGGCAAGGGGATCACTTAGTGCCACAGCACTCAACTGAGGGCAACAAAGTAAGACTCTGTCTCAAAACAAACAAACAAAAAAAGAAAAACTCAGACAAAAAAGGATACATTCCTAAAAATAAAAGAAGAAACACTTTGAAAACTGGCCTAAGTAGAAACACAACCCTAAACAAAACCATTTAGAAAAATAAAATATATACCTCCCTAAAATATTAAACCCACCACCCCAAAAATTACCAAGCCAAGACAGTTGAACTTCAACCAACCTTTCAAAAAATATCATTTCGGGTATTATATAAATTATTTCTGGGGAAAAAAGATTAGTTTCCAACTCATTATTTGAGACTGGCATAGTCTAGATGTTCGATACCAAGACCAAATTAAGGATAAGAAATAAAAATTATGTATGAGGTAATTTTCATCTATGAACATAGGTACAAAAATCTTAAGCAAAATATTAATAAATAAATCCAACTGTGTGTGTGTATATATATATATATAAAACCCATTATGACAGTTCAGTTTATTCCAGCAATGTAAGGGTAATCAAAATTAGAAAATCTATGGCAAATTATCTACACATATCACACTCTTCAAGCACTTGTAGTCCTAGCTACTTGGGAGACTGAGGCAAGATGACTGCTCAAGCCCAAGAATTTGAGGTTGCTGTGAGTAAGGCTGAAGCTATGGCACTCTAGCCTAGGTGACAGAGGGAGACTGTCTCAAAAAGAAAAACACTCTGTGTCATTCACCATATTAACAGAATAAAGGAGGAAAATTACGTTTTCATTGCAATTGCAGAAAACACATTTGATAAAATTCAATACTCATTCTTCAAACACAAAAATATCTTAGTCATCTGGTAACAGGAACATCTAATCCAGTGGCTCTCAACCTTCCTAAACCCGTAGTCCTTTGGTTTCTGTGGGTCATGACCCACAGGTTGAGAACCACTGGTCTAATTCATAAAGTATCTACCAAAAATTGATAGCAAATATTATTCTTTTTTTTTTTTTTTTTTGAGACAGACATTTCTTTCTTTCTTTCTTTTTTTTTTTTGAGACAGAGCCTCAAGCTGTCCCCCTGGGCAGAGTGCCGTGGCATTACAGCTCACAGCAACCTCCAACTCCTGGGCTCAAGCGAGTCTCCTGCCTCCGCCTCCCAAGTAGCTGGGACCACAGGCGCCCGCCACAACACCCGGCTATTTTTTTTTTGGTTGCAGCCGTCATTGTTGTTTGGCGGGTCCGGGCTGGGGATTCGAACCCGCCACCTTAGGTGTACGTGGCTGGCGCCTTAGCCAGTTGAGCTATAGGCGCCGAGCCACAAATATTATTCTTAATGGTGAAACAAAATAAGCAGTTCCTTTAAAAATTAAGTGCAACATAAGGATACCCATTCTTAGCACTTGACTTGAATACTGTACTAGAAGTCCTAACTAGCACAGTTAAGACATGACAAAAAATAAAAAGTATAAGCTGGCTTGGCACCTGTAGCTCAGTGGTTAGGGTGCCAGCCACATACTCTGGGGCTGGTAGATTCAAATCTGGCCTGGGCCTGCCAAACGACAATAACAACTACAACAAAAAATAGCCTGGTGTTGTGGCAGGCACCTGTAGACCCAGCTACTTGGGAGTCTGAGGCAAGAGAATCACTTAAGCCCAAGAGTTTGAGGTTGCTGTGAACTGTGATGCCATGGCACTCTCCTGAGGGCAACACAGTGAGACTGTCTCAAAAAAAAAAAAAAGTGTAAGCACAGAATAAAAACAATCTTCACACAATAGCTTAGCTGACTACATAGAAAACTAAAATTATCTATAAATAAATCATTAGAATTATTAAAATAACTTAAGAATGTAGCTGAACATAGATCCATATACCAAAACAATAAATAAAGCTTACATTAGCAAACAGAAAATGAAAAGGGAAAAAAATACCATTTACAAAGTAAAAAAAAATAAGCATCTTATTTTTCTTTATGGAAAAAAAGATTTTTCTTTATGGAAAATTTACTGAAAAATATTTTAAAATATCTAAATAACCAGAAAGATATACTATGATCAAGGATAGGAGGCTCAATACCATAAAATAAAGGAAATAGGCTGGCACACTGGAGCAACATAGTGAGACTCCGTCTCTATAAAAAATAGAAAAATTAACTGGGAATGGTGGCTAATAGTCACAGGTGTATGCTTGTAGACCTAGTTACTCAGGAGGCTGAAGTAGGAAGATCACATAGGCCCAGGATTTGAGGTTACTTACAATAAATCATGATGATGTCACTGCACTCTACCTTAGGGCAACAGAGTAAGACCCTGTTTCAATTAAGAAATATATATACATACACACATATATAAATACTTTTCATATATATATATATTTAACTTTTATATATATACACACACACATATATATGTATAAAATAAAGGAAATAAATCAAATGCCCATGTAGAATAAAAGCTACAGAGATCTTGGCCTCATATACAAGGCAGATCCCATTCTTTAACAGCTTTTGAATTCTTATAAAACTTGACTCAAATTATTTCCCATTCATGGATATTTATACAATTAACATAAACTTATTAGAAATTAATCACAGGTATTTAATTTTAGTTAAATTGTAGTAATAGTTGATGTAGCACTTTAGGATTCTGACAGTTGCTATAAACAAGTATAAGGAAAGAGCACATGATCAGTACATTGCTAAGTTCTAGTTGAATGTGCTGCAGTCTCAGTAATTCAAAGGTCAGTCAGTGTGCACACTCCCCATAAGATAATTCTTTTTTTCTCTTCTTTTTTTTTGAAGACAGAGTCTCACTCTGTTGTCCCAGGCTAGAGCACCATGGTACCTCAGCCTAGTTCACAGCAATCTCAAACTCTTAGATTAAAGCAATGCTCCTGTCTCAGCCTCGCAAGTTGCTGGGACTACATGTGCTTGCCACAATACCCTGGCTGATTTTTTTCTATTTTTCATAGACACGGGGTCTTGCTCTTGCCGGCTGGTCTTGAGCTCCTGAGCTCAAGCAATTCTCCCTCCTCAGCATCCCAAGAGTTCTAGGATTATAGGCATGAGCCACTGCACCCTGCCACCATAGTGTAATTCTGACAAACACTCCTGCAAGAATTGAAATGTTGCCAACATTTTACATAATACATAAGGTTTTGGTCCTTGGTAATTACCCATCAACAATGCCAAATCACCTAAAAGCCACCTGAAAATGTAGACATTTATTCTGAATACAAATTGCATTTTCAAGGGGAATACAAACAAAACACAATGATCTTAATAGGATTAAAGAGTATTTTTAGTATTTAAGGACCCTTACACAAGGGTCCTTAAGACCCTTGATGGGGGTGGGCTGATAAGATCCTTGTACATATAAACTGGGTGATCAGTTGCCCAACTTGCTTTATCATAGATCTCAACTTGATCAAATGAGATTTTCTCTAGGTTTAACTTATTCAAGTTTAAGTTTGGTTTATATGAGCTTTGTGATACTCTACATTGTTGCCTAAACTTTATTTACCCAAATTTCCTAAAAGAGAATTAGAAATTATGATCTTTATTGGCTTTAGTGGCTTTATTGGTTGCTAGATGATACTACTAATAGTTAACATTTGTTGAATGCTAAGCATATGCCAGGTACTATAATAAATGCTTTATGTGTATGATATTATTTATCTTCACAGTAACTCTATCAGGTAGATAATATTACTATCACCATTTTATAGATAAGAAAACTGAGGTACAGAAAAGTTAAGTAACTTTCCCAATGTCACACAACAAGTAAATGAAGAAACTTAGGGATTCATACGTAGGTAGGTAGTCTGTCTCCAGAGCCCAGACCCTTAAATACTGTGGTATATTGCTTTTCACAATTTTTAAAAGACATGAAATTATTAGGAAAGACAACAAAAATCTCAGCAGTAAAAAAATTACCAGTAAAAGTTAAATAACAGTTAAGCAATATCAATACCAATACAAGTTATAATAGATACTTCACAGCTATTAAGAGTTTTGAAGTTGGACAGACCTGGCTCTGAATGTTGGTTGTGCCCTTTACAAGCTGTGTGATTTTGGACAAGTTTCGTAACTTCACCAAGCCTCAGTTTCCTCATCTGTAAAATGAGAATAATAAACATCTCACAAAGTTGTTGTTAGTAACATAATTATTGCTGTATCACACTGATATGGTAACACCAAACAAAACACAGTAACATAAAATAAAAGAAGGCGGCTCTCAATTTTTGCCTATAAAATAAGACTTTATTATGATATAACAAAGATGATCATTCCAAGTCACTGCAGCAACTGCTAGATCTACACACTAATGTAGAGCCACAATCTTCTTTAATATATAACAAATAATTCCCCTAGATAAAAGTCAAATACCTGTAGGTAAATTACTGGATCTCTGAAATAAAATATTCCATGCAGGAAAAGACAAATAGATAAGACAACATCTGAGCACAGTGGCTTTCCTAACACTCTGGGAGGATCCCTTGAGCTCAGGAGTTCCAGACCAGCCTGGGCAAGAGTGAGACCCAGTTTCTACCAAAAATAAAAAAATTAGCTGGGCATGATGGTGTGCATCTGTAGTCTCAGATACTCAGGAGGCTGAGGCAGGGGGATCACTAAACCCAGGGGAGTGAAGGTGCTATGAGCTAGGCTGACACCACTGGCACTCTAGCCTGGGCAACAGAGTGAGACTCTGTCTCAAAAAAATTATAAAAGACACTGTTATTTATTGAAAACAACTCCCATGAGTCCCATTCCACACATATCCCATATAAGACTAGTAAGTAGTATTCAAGAGGCTCAAATAGGAAGAGCAGTATCAGGAGCTGATTCATGGCACTCAAAGGAAGGTATTTTTATAAAAGAAAAACAGAAAGAAAAAGCTGGGTGTGGTGGCTCATGACTGTAATCCTAACACTTTGGGAGGCTGAAGCAGGAGGTTCTTTTTTTATTATTATTTTTTTATTTTTACATATATATGTGATTATTAGGTTTCCACTTTTTGCCTTCACAGAATTAAAAGGGCTTAAAATTTACCAACGATAACAATGTTTAAGATCAGGACTAGAAAAAAAAACCTTGTAAAGAATGAGTGAAGAGGCTCGGC